CCCCCCCCCCCCCCCGCCAAATTGTCTTGAATTATCCAGGAAGTGGCCAATTTTCTATTCATCTCCAGAGGCCCCAAGCTTTGCCTTTTACAATTTCCTAAGAAATCACCATTGCCATATCTTTAAGTTTGATATGTTTAGTTAGTAGTTTCCAGATCATTAACCACATTTTTTGCTCTAGGAAACATGTTCAGGAATTCCTTTGAAAGCTTAGTTCTAGCAAAAAATTGGCCTAAGCTTCTTTTCTATACCCAGTCCTCCATTCTCCTTCTCTCAGAGTGGTGAGAACATTCTAGAAGACAGGCAGGCATTGCTTTGTGTTAAAGAGGACCACAGGATAAACAGAAAGCACTGGAAAAAGGTGGAGGCCATTCATGATCACAGCTCAATATACAGTGCACTGCTTGACTTCCTATGGTGGACTCTTTTCTTGAGATTGTATACACACAAAGCATGTGGACAGCAGTTAAAAGAAATGTGTACCAGGAAACAGCAGAATGCTCCATCCACCCTCTACTGAGACCAGAGTCAAACCCTAGCTTGAAGCCTATGAAATGGAACGTGTGGCATGCCTGGACAGAACCCATCCTGAAGCAGCCTTCTGACATTGCCAGGTGCTGTTTACACTTGCATCTACCCAGGCTTCCAGCCAGCCACATAAATTATAAATGTATCGACTAAATTGCTAGGGAGGTCACATACACATGAGGCACAGAGGGGAGAGTACTCTGATTTTCGTAAAAGTTCACAAAGGGTTTGAACCCCCGGCTTACCTGGTTATCACAAGGTTATAAATGAGTGCAGTATTGGAAAACCTTGTGCTTAAACAGCCTTAGAATCACATTTCTAGTCCTAATACACTTCAGAAAAAACCTTCAGCAGCTATATTTAAGTATCTAAAACCATAAGACAATTTACAGCTGCTTTGTAAACTATCAGTCTAATGCTAAGGGAAAAAACCCCAACTACTTAGAACAGGGGCTCAGTAAACTTTCCATAATGGGCTAGACAGTAAATATTTGTGGCTTTGGAGGTCATACAGTCTCTGACACAACTATAACACTGTGGTTGGAGCAGAAAAGAGCCATAAGGAAAAAAAAAAATAGATAGTTAGTATGGCCATGTTCCCAATAAAACTTTATTTATGAACACTGAAATTCGAAGTTCACATAATTTTGGTATGATAGAAAATATAACTCCTCTACTGAGTTTTTCAACCTGTTACCTGGTAGGCCATACAAAGCAAACACCTGGCTATATTTGGCCAGGAGCTCATAATTTGCCGACCCCTGACATAGAGATAAAAGATAAACATTGATGGGGTCAAACATTGATGTGAAGTCAGGGAAAGGCAGAGCAAAGGAGAGAGTATTTTCGAGCTATGTTAGTCACATTTTTAAATTTCTGGAAGATGTTCTGACATCTTAAAAATCTTTCTGGCATGGGAGAGACTGAACTTGTGTGCTCCCACCCCCAACATACAACTCTCCCATATCAAGCTAGTATTTCTCCTGTACTAATCATCCCAGGTCTAAGAAGCAGGCACCCAAGGACCACCCCATTCCTCAGAGGCCTCCTGGAATCAGTTGCTAAACCTGGTTTACCTTGCCGTGTCTTTCCCTTCCTGAGGAGGCCTGGCTATAGGCAGAGGCCTGGGTTTTCTTCTTTCTGCGTTTGCCTCCTTACTCTCATGCTTTCCCTGCGGCCCTTCATGGTATGCCCTGTCCCCTTCTCAAGAAATCTAAGTAAAGCTTTCTGTGGTACCGGCTCCCCTGTGTATTACTCAGTCATCTCCATCAATGTAGATCTCCAGGTACAAATGAGACAGGAGAGCCTGCAGGATCCAGGACCTCACAGGGGCCCCAATCCAGGCCTACAGGTTGAAAATCATCAGGGAAACAAGATCCCCAGGTTATCTGTAACGATACAGGAGCTTGGGATGCCCTGGCAGTATAGAGCCTGGGCTCTGGAATTAAAAGGTCTGGTTCAAACCCCAGCGCCTCTCATAAGCTCTGTGGATTTGGACACATTACCATCACTATACACCTGTGTTCAGTTCTGTCCCTAAGTCAGGAATGATGATCGAAAAATCTGTGCTCAACACCTTAGCAAGTGCTTGGCAAATATTAGTCATTAAATGCTTGCTCGGATTTCTATGTCCATGCTCAAACTCCTAAGGCCACTTCCTCAGGGGCACACACGTTTTGAACCAGTCAAACTACCATAGCTACAAGCCCATCATCACTCCACAATTCCATCCAAAAGGCAAAGAAAGACACCACGCTCCTGGCCGCAGAGTGTAAAATGTATTGATGTTGTAAAGAGAAGACTTGGAGACAGTTCAGAGATGTGGGGAGGACACACAGCACAGACATGCTGATTCTGGAAATGGCGACGGCGTAAAGAAGGTAACAAACATGTCTCTGTTTGGAACGTGGTGTTTTGCTTTTTCCGTTAGCTCAGATTACTACTGCACAGTTTCACCTAGAGTAAATATATATAATGGCTGCTTGATGTTAACAAAGTCAATATTCACAATCAGATCAATCAGAGTTAACAGCAGTATAGTTGTCATTTGTGATGTTCATTGCTATAGTGGAGGAGACTTTTCCAATTTACTCTGTTTACATGTTTAGTAACCAACAAACCCAAAAATTAATGAAAAAGAACAGTCAGTTAAAAACAATTGTGATTATGCCATGGGTTTTTCTAAGACCTTTAAAGTCAGATCATTTAGATTTACAAGAAAAAAACAAACAAACAGGTATCATGGAAAACAAATAACCAAAAACCTGCTGAAAAACACAGCTGTTAGAACACAGTGGTCAGTATAAACAGCTCAGAGGGCGGAGAAAACACCAAGTCCTTCCAGTGGGTTAGCAGTCCAACAGGGTCAACTCTGCTTTCCTTTTTCTTTTTTTATTCCTAGTGGCTATTTTCCTACCACAGTGTTGCGCTTCATTATATATTAAATAACTTATATGGGTAAAAAGGAGTTTGCTAACCAGCAGCCAACTCAAAACTTTGTAGGAAGAGGGAGGAGAGGAATTTACAACCCGGCACACGCTAAAGGGAAACAATGTCCGCAACAGACATCCAACCAGTCTTTGCCCTCTCTGGCAACACTGCTCCAGCTGAGGTCTGGGATTCACACTGAGGGGGTTTTCCCCTCCCTCCTCTCCCTTTTTCATTTAAATTAACAAAGAAACATGGGCTTCCTCAGCTGGGTAAGTCCCATTAGCAGCAAATGTTCAACCAAATAAAACACACACACACACACACACACACACACACACACACACACAAAAGAAAACCCCATCCAGGTGCAGAGCTGTGATTCACATGGAAATTCCAGGAGATGAATCATGTGCAGAGCCGGAATCTTCAGAGGATTCTTTCTCAAGTGTCTTCAGTGAACATTTCAGTCTCACAAAATCTGAGTCAATGGTCAGCTGTGGGAAATGAGCTTTCCATCTGCTCTGCAGTTGCTTTGCTGATCAGAGCGCCAGGGGCTGCAGGGTCTTCACGATTGTTCCTAGAACTAGATGTCAGAAAACAAAGGCCAGCCCCTCTCGGGGCTGTGAGAAGCAGCAGCAGCGGTGGCAGCAATGGCGGTGGCGGCAACAGCAGCAGCAAGCAGCTCCCACGTGTTAAACTCTGCCTAACAGGCTAGACCTGTGGAATAGAGAAAACCACGTAAAACAAGGCAGCAGGCTAAAATGCCTTACTTAATTTTTCATAATTAAAATGATAGGCAGAAATCAAGCATTGAAGTCTCTAGTCTAGTCACTTCAGGAAAGTTGTTAGTCACTTAAAATTATTAATGGAGACGGCAAAAGCATCATCTATAGATAAACCTGTATCTTGAAGGGTTTTATATTAAAACAAAAACAAAGACTCTTAGTGGCAAAAAGCTTTCATATACGTGTGCAATGTGTATTACAGAAAGGTTGACCTAGTAGATACAGCATCTTCCACAGCACATTCTGACTGCTGAAAGTAAGAGGCGACAAGAAAGGTGTCTGCCTCACATGTGGACTTGTATCTGAGTCAATGTGTCTTCAACGAATGGATCTATGTACTAACATCTCATTGCTTCAAAGCTAAGGCATAAGTTTTTAGATAGGTACTACCATTCTAGAAGATCTAGTAACATGTTTTTGAAAATTATAATAGGCTAATTTCTTGTCTTTATCATTTTTGTCATTGCTAGACCTCGGTCAACATCTTCAGTGCTCAACATCATTCAATGATAGGCCAAGGACAAGGGCTGAGCAGCAACAGAGTACAAGACAGTGGTCAGGGCTGGGGCATGTCCCTACGCGCCTTCAAAGGGAGTAGCGGGGAAAGCAGCATACACCACACTAAACGTGGCTGGTGACAGGAGAGTTAGTGTCTTCAGTTCAGGAGGAACTCTGACTAGGGAGGAGAAGGCCAGGGACAGAAGGCAGTGGATCAGGGCCAGGAGAACAGGTAGATATGGGGAAGGCAGAGCCCATGGCTTAGACATGAAGGGGAGTTTGTTCTTCAAGCCTCCTTAGAAAACAATCTTAACTAGTCTTTTATACCAAAGAACGTCCTCACGGTGTGTGTGCAGGCTTCCTCATAAAACAGCAGTCACATAGCACCTGTTATTGTCACTCTTCTGGAGACAGGGTTGTGCTCTGTAGCCAAGATCAGCCTCAAACCCACTATGTAGGTCAATCTGGCTTCAATCTTGAGATTCTCCTGCCTCAGCCTTCAGAGAGCGGGGATTCCAGGTTGTGTGCCACCAAGCCTGGCTTTTACCGCTCCTGGCTTTTACCGCTTTGAGCCACTGCTCATCCTCAAAACCATTCTCACCAGAAGAACATCGTTAACTGAACACTATTGAGTACAAATGCAAACAGATTCCCACATTTGTGCCTAGATTGGTCCGCATACACACTTTTTCACACTTCTAAATTCCCCCACTAAATTCTTTGTCACATTTCAACTAATTAAATGGTCAGGATGATGGCATACTGAGTGTTGTACAGTTCATACAGATATGAAATCTTACCAAAGGTAAATTTTATTAAAAAGAGAAAAGGGTGATTAAAGGGAGAAACAGGGCAGGCAAAATTCACCCAAAAAAGATCATTTAAAGGAATAATTCTCAATTTTTTTTTGTGTGTGTGTGAGATACGGCCTCAATGTAGCTCATGCAGGTCTGAACTCTCAGCTCCCCTTGGTTCAGCCTCCTGAGGACTGAGATTACCACACCCAACTCCTCCAATTTTTTATCTACTTAGATGTGTTTTCTGAATCAATTTTTAAATTTTATTATATCAAATTATGTCCTGGACTACTTTCACTGTTAAAATATCTCAAGTGTTTAAAATACAAGTTTGGTTTGAAAATACTAATAGACAAGCCAAAGTTTTAAATGTGAAAAAAACTCCTGATTATATTTAAAGTCCCAATTTTCTCTCAAATCAAAGAGGGTACTGATAGCTGGCTAAGTGATACCCCAATTTTATCAACTTTAACTAGTCTTCATTTTAGACAGCACTTTTGTTTGTGCCCCTTCCCATCGAATGAAGTTTTAACGTAAGGTCTATTCAACAAAAAGTTCCGATCTTCTGATCCCTCAGACAAAGAAAAATCATTGTTTTCTTTGTTTGTTTACCACACAAATGAAATAATTCCAATTCCTTATTCTACTAAATAATGGGGGAGAGGGCAACAGTCTTAGTATTACCCTGCCTGTGCAGAAAATGAAAGACGATAGAACTGAATGATCACAAAGAGAATCCCAAGCCATAGAGGTTCAGAGAACATAACTTGGAACAGGTAGGTAGGGACTTCCCACAGAAGGCGTACATGTGACTTGCTTCAGGAAAAGCAATGTTTCCCACAGACCTGCATGAGGCGCAGTGAGACCCACCTTAGAGACTTCCATCTGTCCTTCTCTATATTATTTTCAGGTCCTTCACTCTCATATGAAGCCAAGTAGAGAGCTACAATGAAATAGAGGAAAGAACGCATTATGACTGACACCTTCTCCTGACACACGACACGCTCCCTCCCCACCAAAATCCGTTGTTCAACTTGGGCCTAGCCTCTAGCAAAGCACACCTCAGATACACTGAATTATGTTCCATGAAGAATATAGAACAGCACTTTGCCTCTGACTGGCCATCTCAACAAAAACCCAGGAGCCTCTATGTTGAAAAGGCACTCAATTAACTAAGAATTTATGAGGCAAAAGCTTTCAAAATGCAAACCATAAAATGCTGTCATACACTCAGATTTACATTCACTACAAAGGAGACAGTCATGGTACTTTCCTGGCACCCTCAGCTTTAAAAAAAAAAAAAAATCCCTCATCTAAAATTTTAAAAGATTGCCATTTATCTTATTTATAGAGATGAAAAGAATCAAGTCCCCTCCAAAAACAGGCAGTATGAATTCAAGTGGTCTTCAGTCCTCACTGCAGACAGCAGCAACGTGCTATTAGGATATAACAAAGCAGTAGAGAATGTCTCTAACCCCTTTACAAACTCTTTTGTTGAATTTCCCTATGCATAGTCAATCATTTTTCCTGCCTCTGTTCCCCTAATGTTTCAACAGATCAAGATTGTCCATAACTTTCTCAAACAGCAAAGAATAAAAATATACTGTTTTCCTTAACACCTGACCATTAGCTTATTTGTAAACGAGTCATGAAACACCTTTCGCTCCAGAGACAGCCCAGATAAGAACAAAAAAGAATTCTTCAACAGTTTTCTACTTATGCCCCAAGCTTTGCAGAAGCAGACATTAGGAAGGATGTTTGAACATGGAAACATCCTGTTTATGGGTAAATATGAAGTGAAAACATTTTAGGGATAATTACAACGTTTTCTGTGCAACAGAAAAAAAGTTGGAACAGCTCAGAGGATGGCCTCATGCTTGACAGGCAATTGAGCATTAGGCATTTGTACACAGGATCTGGGGATATTCAGGGTGACTCCAAATCAACAGCCTTACCGTCTTCACTGAATACTGGCACGGTGAGCAGATACTGCAGAATTTTCCTGTCCCGCTCAAATGGACACTCCACTTGTTTCCACGTCATAAATTCACTCACTTGTTTGGCCAGTTCCCAAAATTTCTGAAATTAAATATAAGAATCTTAAAGGCAGTTGTAAAGAACAATGGGCCTACAAGACACAGTTCCATCTAAAATGCATTCTCCAGGTTTTAAACTTCTGAGTCATCAATTACATTCGCTAGCTAGGTAAGGTAAAATTTACGATTATACGCATTCCCTCGAACAGCTGATAGCTACTGCAGTCCATTTGGCATCGTTAAGTTCTCACAAGACAACAGATCAACAGCAAGCTTGTTCTGCAGCTGCAGAATCTGCCTTGCTGAAGCCACCCTCTTCTCCCCATGCTATCATTTTATTTATGTAGTTGGTTTGTTTGTTTAAAGACAAACTCTCATTACACAACACTGGCTGGCCTAGAACTCACTATGTAGGACTAGGCTGGCCTCGAAAAACTTGTGATCCTCCTGCCTCTGCCTCCCCTAATTGTTGGAATTATAGGCACACACCTCCGTGCCTGACACCTGCTCTGATTTCCATACCCCACTTCACTGCACTCACCTCAAAATTGACATGGCCATTTGGAAGGCGGTTAGCACAGCCCTCGTTGAGGAAATATATATCTTTGATTAAGAGACTGAAGAATGGTATCACAATCTAGAGAAAACAAAAAGATTCAAGTTTGTCTGGGTGAATAAAACATTTAGTCTCTTGTCACAACTACAAGGGATTAATGAACAGTAGTAATTCAGATTGCATTGGAGGTCACACGTTTTAAGGTACACTGTTCTGTACACTTACATGACAATTTCCTCCCTTAAATAATTTTGCCTAGAAGCAAACACCATCAACAATTAAATGTCTCCATTTTAAATGAGGTTTTTTCCAGATGATTTTATTTTAGCTTTGAAGGCATTGCTCAAGATAATGCGACAGGCTTTAAGCAATGGTTGCTACAACTTCCTCTTGAGTAAACCTGGCTGTGTATAAGAGAACAAGTCAGCACCTGCTGGCCTGGAAAAGCCCCTAAGAAGTACCTGGCACAGTGTGCTATAAGACAGATGCACCACAAGTGAAGGAGGGTGGAAATGTGTGAATTAGAACTAACGATTATGTGAGGAAAGTCTTTCTTTAATAATACTTAATAAAGTATTAATAAATATTTAGCTTTAATAAGCAGAGCTTCCTTTAGTAATACTTTATCACTGCAGTTCTTTGGTTTGATGAGGAGGTACTTAACGAGTTAACCTAAAGCAGCAATCTTTAAAAAATACCCTAGTCCTACTAAACCCTTAACAGAGATCAAACAAAGCTCAGATGCATTAATTTCTACTTTCTCTCAAATGCAACATATTTGAGTCTAAACTGTATGCAATATAAATAGTGTACCAAACACAGATTATCTGGGAAATTTCAAAACTTCAAGATCAGGTCTTTGAAGTCTCCTACTTCATGACTCATGAATCAGAAAACAATCTTTTGACTCACACATAAACATATTAAGCATCAATTTACTTCTAAGGAGAAATTCAGATTATTTTTTTCCCTTAAAGTCATTTAAAAAAAACAAACAAACAAAAAAAAACTTTAACTTTTGTTTCATTGATCCCAGAGAATAACTGAATTGGATCTTCATATCAATAGCGCTCTTTGTACTTGTTTGGGAAGCCTCTAACATAGTTGGTGAAGGACCCACTGCCTCCTTCTGATGTAATCAGCTATAGTGTTAGAACTAAGATGAAGGCAGACTTGAACTTGCCTCTAAAGACTACTGTGTCTGGAAGTGCTGGACTCTGTCAGGCATCAGTTTAAAAACTGGCCACACAATTTACTAGGGATAAAAGGTCAGAGTTGCTAAAATGTAGTGGTTTTTGGTGGGGGGGGGTGTGGAGAGGGTATCACCTAGGAGACACATTTTTAAGTGGCTGGGGAAGAAAAATCAAAAGAGTAATACTTTATGGTGCATGAAAATCACATGACATTAAAATGACAGTCACCAAAGAACTTCACTGGGGCATGGGCATAGTCACTCCTCCACATACAGGCTGTCTGCTTTTTGCCACTAAGTTGAGTATACACTTAGAGGACAATAAACACGCATCATCCCTCTGACAGCCCCAGGGAAAGGGAAATAATGAAAAGCAAGATGGAATGTTTTTCTACTGCAATAGCTTCTAGGCAAGGAGCTTTCTTCTGTGCTGCTCTTGTTCGTGGTGCTGGGCTATGAGGCTCATGGGTGTTGAACATTACTGCTTTGTACTGATACTCAGACTGATTTCTAGGTTCTTGACATGGATCATAAATTGCAGGAGGCAGAATGAGACCTGTGAGCTTCACACTCATGTCCCCACAGATGCTCTACTACTACCTAAGGCATTCTTCCAGGGAAACGGAAACAGCCAGGCTCAGCTGCCCTATTTCTGATGCCCAGAAGAAAATCTCACCAGCACCCTAACTTCTCACTTACTCATGAGAGTTCCTATTAGATCTATCTGCACAACACACCTAACAGGGTGAAAACTAGAAGAACACATGAACTCTAGAGTTTCATGAGCTAGGTCTTGTTAATATTAGTGGGAGAACTTCTCAAGTAATGAAGGTTTCCAATTCTCTTTTAACAACTTTTTTTAGGTGCATTTCTGGCCAGCCTCAAACCCACTATATAGCCAAGGAAAACCGCACTCCTCTGATCCACCTGTCTCCACCTCTTGAATACTGGGATTATAAGCATATACCACCATGTCCAAATTTACATGGTGCCTAGGGATTGAACCCAGAGGTTTCATGCATGTTAGACAAGTACTCTACCAACTGAGGTATATTCTAAGCTACCCCTTTAAAAAAATCTCTTTAATTCATCTGGGCCTGGTGGTACATGCCTGCAATCTCAGCTACCAGGGAGGCTGAAGCAAGAAGATTAGATGCTGAAGGCCTGCCTGGCTACTTGGTGTGACCCCATCTCAAAATAAAACAAAATAGTAAAATGAGGGCTAGGGACATATTAAAGCTGACTGGTAGAGTGCTTTCCTGGCATGCATGAGGCCCTGGGTTCAATCCCTAGTACCAGAAAAAATTTAAAAATTCTTAACTCAGAGTCAGCATTTGGACTTTAAAAGTTCCAGGCCTAGAAATGAATGCCAATGAGCAAGAGCACAGACAGAATGGCAAAAGGATTGAAAACCGTGTAATCATAAAGAACGGTTAAAAAACCAGTAAAACACAAGTACCCACGGGGGGGGGGTGGTATTTAGTGAGCACTTAAAGGCTCCTGTGTGGAAGACAGATTTGATTTGCTCCATTATAGGTGCCTGGAAATGTGCCACTCTGACTGTAGAAACTTGAGCTTTGCAAAAGATCAAAGACTGTTATTCTAGTTAAGCTGCTAGGAAGATTGTAAAATGGGAAATTATTGTGGAATAAAGAAAGTCCTCCTTCACCTCAAAACAAGGAAAAAAAATCTCAGTCTTTTTTAATATAAAAGGAATTTGACTAAAAATGTTTTTATTCTTATCCTTTGAGATCAATTATCAAAAAATCATAGTCTATTTCTTTAAATAGTTGTGATTTTACTTATTCTATCAACTACAGGGCACAATTTGCAACCTTACGAATAACTTGCCTTAAAAACTAAAGCAAAAATAATTTATTAAATGATATAAAGGGTACTAACTGAGTTTTTACTGGGAAAAGCTGTTAGAATCCTGTAAGTGAGATGTTTGGGGGCGGCTGGACTTCTGCAGCTCCCTAATAAACAAGACTCTGCGGCCTCCTTGTTCCCTCACTGAGGGCCAGGTGATGAGCCTCAATGTGACACAGTCAAACGGCCTCCAGGTGATAAACCTCAATGGGACACAGTCACACGGCCTCCAGGTGATAAACCTCAATGGGACACAGTCACACGGCCTCCAGGTGATAAACCTCAATGGGACACAGTCACACGGCCTCCAGGCATCCTTCACTTCAGGCTACTGGGGGACTCCACACATGTGCTCATCTTCAGAAGCTAACCAACTTCAGCTCATACCTTTTCTCAGTCTGGTCAATGGGTACTGGAACTTAGGCAAAAAAAAATTAAAGAATGTCGGGCAATTGGAAGTTTCCTCTTTGAAATATAAAGTTAATATATTTACATATCTTTCAAACAATATCAGAACTGATTTCTCAGATGTGATGGAGGAAGAGTTTTATGTTTGTTTTTATCTTAGGTCACCAAGACTGAAGCTTCTGTGGGGAAGAGACTTAGATGCACATGCCTTTAATCCCAGCACTTGGGAGAGGCAGGAAGATCTCTGTGAGTTCGAGGCCAGCCTGGTCTACATAGTGAGTTCCTTGATCAGCTGGAGCTACAGGGAGACCCTGTCTCAAAAAGACCAAAAAGAAAAAAAAAGGAAAAAAAAAAAATCTTCATTAGCACTTTACCATAACTGAGGGTGTATGTCTCAAATACACCACAGCCAAATGTCCAGACAGTAGTTCCTCTATTAAGGAACTATGAAGCGGAAATGTGCCAACAGGACCCTCAGAGTCAAGAGCACGGTGCACCCCGGGTAGTGCTAACTTGGTGAAACGTACGGAAGAGAAGAAGAGGATCATTAATTGACATCTCCCCTGTATTTTTCTGCCACCTACATATCCAATTAATAACAGCAGGGCTAATGTAGCAACTAACCTACTTTCTGAAAATAAATGACTTAACTGTGGGAGGTAAGCTAATTCTTTCAAAAGAAAAGGTTAAATTAAGTCAGCCACCTTAAATGTCGTCTTTCCATTAAACTAAATTGCTCTCTAATGCTATTAGTCACCTTATCATGACTTTATTGTCTGAGACACAACTAAGATGAACTACAGAATAAATGTCAGAAACATAATGGCAAAGCAGTCTACATTTGCAAAGTTTTACTTCAAGTCCCCTTCTTTGTCCAGAACTCAACATTCCTTTTATCATTCCTTTTCTTTATGTGGTAACTGATAAAGTGTCTACAACATGCCCCTCTCTTAGATCTGAGCCAGTAAAAGCAGCTCTGTGTAGTAGTTCCTATCACATTTTAGTGTAAACCCTAACAAGTCTGTCACAAGTAACATACATACCTTCTCTCTGCTACTGTGAGCAGTTAAGGACCTCTGTGCTGCCCCTCGGAGAGCTGTTCGATAGTTGTAAAAATTGCTTGAAGGGTCCATCTGATGCTGTAGAAAGACAAAATGGCATTAACCACTCACTTTGCAACTGTACCAGTTTACAAGCTCACTCCTTTATATATAACAAAGTCAAAATAATTTAGGGAAATTATTAGAAATATGATTTATCCAACACATACACACACACATATAGAGATTTGGCTAATTTTTATAAGCTTATGTGAGTTTTGCCAAGGAGAAAGTTAAATCAAATCCATTTAAGGTAATTGTTGAGATCAGACCTAAAATTGCTAAGTCCAGCTCTAGCATTAGAAAATTTTCCTGGTTCTGCTTAAAGGTCAATGGGTCAGCTGCTGGCCACACATATGATCTAACAAAAAGAACATGCTCTTTGCATTTTTAAAAAATATTTTATTTATTATTTTTATTTTTTGTGTATGCGTGTATTGCCTGCATGTAGGTAAGTGCATCCGTGTCGTGCAATGCCCACAGAGGACAGAAGAGGCTGTCAGATCCCCTGGAACTGGAGTTACAGACAGTAAATTTTAGCTGCCATGTGGGTGCTGGGATTCAAACCTGGGTCTTCTGCAAGAACAGTCAGTGTTCTTAACTGCTGAGCCATCTTTCCAGCCCTCTCTTTGCATTTTATAACAAATCATTTACAAATAAATAATGGAAGTCTATCACTTTTTACCAAAAAAAGAGAAAAGAACTTTGTTAAATACTACAAATAAAAGAGCAAGTAATATATCCAATGATAATTCCCAGTTTAGGGGAAATTTGGGGGAAGAATGTTTATTATTTCCAAAGACTTAAAATAGGAGACATTAATACACTAAGATAACCTGGAGGTGATTAGGATTCAAACTCACACACACACACACACACACACACACGCTTGTACATAAAACTAATTACCTTCAGAGTTATATAGGAAGGGCTTTTCAGGTTAACCAAATCTGCTAAAAGGGTAGTGAATGAGAATCTGGGGATGAGGAGCGCCTCCCCAGTACACTATATATGAAGCAAGTGAATAGGCAAACTGGGAAGTAAAACTCTCCACTGTTCTAGACCCCATTCTATCCTGCCATACAAAGTGATGTGATTAACAGATCAGCATCTCTTTCCATCAATTACCCCAAAATGTAGACCTTGGTTTATAAAAGGACTAGCTGCAAACCTGACTTACTTTGCCCTACTCCAGTCTGAATTCCTTTCCTTCCTCTGGGTCTGAAAGCATTTTCCTCTGGTAGTGCTATTTCATTGAGAGGCAAGATTACAAAGAGGAATCCCACTTTCCATTGTTGCTTTTATTTATTTGTTTTTGTCCTGCTATGAGCTCAGGCCCTCAAGCTCATAATCCTCCTGCCTCAGACTCCTGAGTGCTGGGATCTTAGACACTATGCACCCATTCATAGTGTACAAGAGATCTTATGCACTATACCACTTAACAAAACTAAAACATTTTCACATACCTCAAGGATATCAAATTTCGCAGTCTTCACCTTGCCCCAAGTTTTTTTTAGCCGCGAGACTGGGCTCATATTCATCCCAGCTTCCCATTGAAAATGCATACGAAAAGAAGAAAATTGAAACAGAGACATAAGAAAAGTTGTTCTAACTTTACTCCTACAAAATGTTTGCATATCAAGCATCAGTAATCAAGTTCTACAAACTGTCTGTCGGTATCAATCTTACAGTATTTTCCTGCAAATTTTTTCTCAGCCCAGGAGCAGCACAACTGCTACCATTTACATTACACGGCGGTGAGCACATTTTCTCAGCAAAGGGAAATATATTAAGGCTATGCAGGCCATTCTGAGACACTGCCATTGTTCTGTCACACAAGCAGCCATGGATACCAATAAACAAATGGTCACAGCTGCATTCTAATAAACAGTTTACTTATGGATGCTGAAGTTTAAATTCATATTATATTTGAATGCTAGAAATATCATTCTTTTCAATTTTTTCATTCACTTAAAATATTAGAATTACAGTTAGCTCCTTGCCATACAGAAAACAACAGTGGGCCACACTGGGTCACAGGTTGTCATTTCCTAACATCAAAGCTTTGCATGTATCTTATCACATCTGTGCCAGACATTCTGACAATAAGAAGTTCCAGGGGCAAGAACTTTCCCAAGATCATGTGGCTGACCAGTAGCAGAAGTCATACCAATCTGACTCCAAAGCCCACACTTTTCCCAACATGCCATGCTGCCTCCCCCAGTGCTAACCTTACATACTACAGACGCATGTATACTGCAGTGAAAAAAGGTTCTAACAGGACTACATGAGTATATACATTCATCTCATGCCACCAATATTTCTTTTTTATTTTCATTTTTTTAAATTGAGCTTTCTAAATTTCATACATTTCCCACTCACATCCAGACCCCTTCCCCTATCCATGCCTCCCCTATCTCCCTGCCGAACCCCATGCACTCTGCCATATATGCTGAGTCCTAGTCATTCAGGTGTTTGTACCCAACTGTCCTTCAGTGTAAATGCGTCCACTGGAATCTAGTCAGCCCATGTAGTGGTTGTATGTAAGCCATACTCTCCCTCACCCAGCAGCAATCAGTCTCAAATAGTTCTCGATCTAGTGCTGGCCTCCACCTATTTCTCACCTCTACTTTGGACCCTTGTTTAATTGAACCACCAATATTTCTCTCTTAAGAACCAGAAGAAGAAATTTTTAATTGAGGCAAAACTGAGACAGAAAAATACACAGATCTTAAATGTACGATTAGATGAATTTGACAAATGTACCAATTCACATATCTCCACCCCAAAAAGGTTACCGTAGAACATTCTATCATCTAGAAAGCTCCCTCATATCCACGTCTGGTCAATTTCTATCCTCCACAGAAATTGAAACAGTGGTGGCCTATAACAAGAGATTGGCTAGCTTTATCTATTCTAGAACTTCTTGTGAATGGAATTATATCGCATACACTCTCTGGTGCCTGCCTTGTTAAAGGTTCTGCATGATTATAAAATTTATCCAGGTTAGTTATATGTTTCAATGATTCATTTTTATTGCTCAAAAATATTTATTACATGAATATGCCACAATTTCTTCAGCTATTCACTTGCAAATGAGCATTTGGACCATTTCCAAACTGGGGCTATTATAATTAATGGTGCTGTTACACATTGTAGCACAAATCTTTCTGAAAATGTACTTACTTTTTAGAGGCAAATATATCAGTGTGTGGAACTTCAGGATTACTAAGTATGTGATTAACTTTGTAAGACTCTAGAGTGATAGAACCATTTTAAACTCCCTCAAGTACTGTACAAGCATTCTACTTCTTATCCTGGGCAATATTTGAAGTAACCAGTTCCAATTATTTTAATTTCAGTGTATGAAATTGGTGTTTCAATGTTTTTTTTTTAATTTCTCTGACAATTTCATGTTTATTAACCTGGTTATTAATCTTCTTATGAGTTTGTAGGGTTCTTTGTGGGCTATGGACACAAGTTCTTTGTAGTTATATGTAATACTAATATTTCTCCCACATTGTATCCTGCCTTGACATTTCCTGATTGGTGGTGGTGGTGGTAGTGAATTAGGTTTTTTTCTACTACTGAGACTACTAATCTTTTAGGTCCCTAATTTTATTATTTTTTTATTCTTTTGGTCTTTTTGAGACAGGGTCTCCCTGTAGCCCCAGCTGTCCTGGAACTCACTATGTAGACCAGGCTGGCCTTGAACTCACAGAGATCTGCCTGCCTCTGCCTCCCAAGTGCTGGGATTAAAGGCATGCACCACCACGCCCGGCTGGTCCCTGATTTTATATGGTAGATGATCGGTCTATTCACTATTTTCATGGAGTAAGTCAAATAACAAATGAAACATGCCCAGTGTTTTTATGGGGGATAGAAGGAAGTGATGTATAGACAAAATTTTAAAAAGGAATTGGTGAAGAGTAGAATTATCAGGACAAATATCACTGAACTAAACTTGGTAAATACTTTCAAATGACCCCAACTCTTTTTTTATTTCTTTTATTCAAAAAATGTATCAAGTACCTAAAATGTGTAAGATGGCCGCCGATTTATAAAATGGAACAATGAATACTTGCTGCTGTATAACCTATGCTAATAGAAAGAATGGAAAGAAACAGGGACTCTGGGATTAAAAATCCCCATCATACACAGAAGAGGGCTGGTGTACTGGAACAGGAAGAGCTGCCATTGTAAGGACCAGGAGCATGGCCAGTCAGAAATGTGTGTTTTTTGGTTCATCCTTATGTTCATGCTGATGAAATAACAGGATTTAATCTCAGGTCATGGAGTTGTATAATGTTTGACATACAAGCTGCCCAAATACCTCTAAAAATCTTTTGTTCAGGCAGCTGCCTCACTCATAAGCTTTCACACATGAAAATTTAGTTGATGATACATTAACTAAAGGTATTCCATAAATACCTACTAAACAAAGATTACACATTCTTGAACTAAAGGGTATAGTTTTCATTAAATAAACTGTATTACTTGGAGATTTTCAATGGATACATTTTGCAGACCCCATAAAAATAAAAGACATGTATCTGCGAGAAAATACTCACAGATTATCGCCATCAAGGAATTAAAGTTGCCAATGTTGAAACACTCTCGAGCTACATCGATGAAATATTCAATCATTCTTGCTCGATGTTTCTTCTTCACAGGCTGTAATGAGAAAGACAGTGAGGGGCAGGACTCCAGCACGCAACCCCAACAGACAGAAAGTCAGCATGAACAACAGCACTGAGAGGCAAGAGGCGGAGAAAAGTCATTTTCTCACCATGCAGATTTCTGTGGCAACCAAATAGCTTAGGCGATTAAACCACTCTACGTAGGCTTCTAAATTTCGTGTTTTCTTCCGTTCACTGTAGCAACTCTACAGAGGAAGCAAAGTGGACAGGTGAGATCTAGAAATACATCTGCTGCATTCCTAAATATGCCTTTCTCTTTCTTCTCAGAAATGTCCTCAGTCCTTCAATTCAAAGGAAAAGTTTGGGTCTATGCTGGTCAGTTTTAACTGACATGTTGACACGACCTAGAATCACCTGGGAAGAGTCTTAATGGAGAATTATCTAGATCAGGCAGGCCTATGGGCATGTCTGTGGGACACTGTCTTGATTATTCATTGATGTAGGAAGACCCAGCCAATTGTGGGCTGCACCATTCTCTAGGTAAAGGGTCCTGAACAGTCTAAGAGAGGAGAAAGTGAGCTGGCAGGATAGCAAGCATGGGGACACAGGCCTGTGCGCATTTACTTCTCTCTGTTCTTGACTGTGGATGTGATGTGACCAGCTGCTTGGGTTCCTAACTCGAGTTTCCTTCAATGATGGACTATAACCTGGAATTGTTAAGCCAAATAAAACATTTCTCCCCTCAATCGCTTGTTGTCAGGATATTTTATCACAGCAACAGAAATAAAACTAGAACTGGGCTGACTCCTAAAACAATCTTGGACTGACTAATAGGGTACAAAAAACAGCTGCTATGCACACAGCAAGGACAGGCAAGGAGTGGAATTGACTAGAAAACCCTCTCCTAAGATTAAGTTGTAAGACAAAATCCTGGAGCATTGTGTACCGGAAGATAAATGGAAATCTGTACTATCATGCACTTTGGTGAGGTGAATGACACAGTGTTCAAAAGCAAACGAAGTTAATCTCAACTTGGAGTTCAAGGCCAAGCCTGAAGAGGTTCATTACCCCTCTTTCCTTCCTTCCAGAAGACAAACAAAAAAGTCTACTAGCTTTCTACTGGAAAACATGTTCTTCATTTTCCATTCTGAGAAACACTATTCTAAAGCTGGAAAACAGCTGTTGCCCTGTCTCCCAGAGGAGCCCTCATCAGTAGACAGGCAGCCATAGCTAGCCTAACAATTCAAAATGCTTCTGGAAATTACAGGGAAAAAAATTCGTAGATGTGTGCATAAAATTTACAGTCCACAACAAGTACTAGGTTCTTTACGTGTGTGCTTCACTGTGATACTGTCATGTAGGACTGACAGTAAGGGCCAAAGCCAGGTAGAGCTTTGCTCAGCAAGCTGGATGTACATCCTGTTGCTCCTGCCCCTGCTGCTGCTGAATCACAAGCAGACCACATTATTCTCTTTCTCTCTTAATCTGCTAAGCCCATTATGCTTTTATCTTTTACCTTCATCACCACAAACACTTGCATCTACTTGCTGGAAAGGGCTTATTAAATTTCTCAGTGAGGAGGAAGCAGATACTAAAATGTTAGTGATGGGGAAGGACCATTGTACAGACACTCAGACCTGGCTCAAGAAAAACTATGATGAATTACACATAACTTTGGGGGGAAAAAAACCAACAACTTTAGACTGATTTACCTTGTCATTATCCAGGGGATCCTTCTGCACAAACGCCTGAACAAACTCTTCTGGGCCAATGTAATTGAGCCTCTCCTGAACGTCAAAGATCATCAGTGTTAAGGAAAATTAAAAGAAACAGAGGGTTTCTTTAATTAATTAATTTTTGGTACCACCCCCATTTCTTAAAGTAGATTACAAAATGAGCTTTTAACCCTAAATTGCTTCATCATATTTGAGGTCTGAATAGAAGCAGTTTCCTCCTCAGGTCAATGTTCCACAAGACAGTAGATGACTGATCAAGTTGGGGAAAATAATTAAGAGGCCGAAGATGAGGAAGGTCAATAGACTCTGCTTTCCCATCTTGTTTAGGACTATTTTTGAGTAAATTCCCAGAAAATCAGAAGCATTCATATTCAAGTATGCAAACAAATATGTTTATTTTATGGTTTATTTCCCATTTGAGTTATTCTGACTTCTCTCATGACATTATTATCAATAAACATGGTCTGGTTGCCAAAGTAAACTGACCTGTGTCTGCAAAGGGCAAAGACAATAGATAGGGCCTCACCAGCTCAATGTGAGTCAGCTGCTGGGCCAATGTGTAAGGGTCGCTGCAGACAGTAATGATATCCCTCTGGATGGACTGCGGCTTGGTCTTCAGAACCGTGAGCCGGTCTGTGGATGTGGAGCTGATTTTTGCCAGGACTTCCTCGTACTGGCTGAGGGCAGCAAGCTTGCGGATCAGACTTTGCATCATCTGCTGGACATTCTTCCGGTATGTCTGCTAGAGAATAGGTGAAGACTTACATTCTCGCTCTCTGTACCCTTTTTCAGCATTCCACAACCTCAGAGGCTGTCTTCAAATGATTGATCTTGACTTTGGACAATTGACTTGTCCAGGAACTTACAGGTATCAGTTTAAAAGAGACATGGACATAGCAAGTGTATTTAAATCTATAAAGTTTAGTTATTTTCTCAGGTTACTTCTGAGAATACAATTCGGGCTAGGCCTTGAAAACCCTATAGAAATTTCAGATTAGCTACAAAGGCATTCAGTATACTGAATGCTATATACAACTAAATGTTCCTGAGCAGGAATGTGCCTGTTTGCTTTTGAAGGTTAAACTACACTGATCCCCAGGCAGGGTATACTTTGCCTATCTTTTCCTTTACGGCCACCTGCTTGGTTTCTCCATTCCCATCATTTCCAAGCTCACTACAGTAAGTTCAGAGATGCTACAAGACAGGAACAGACATTTACTTCTCACTCTCCTGCCCACTTGCTTTCCTGACTTTCACATCTAACATGGAACTGATTATTCATTTTTGATATCTGACCTCTAGACTCATGTCCATTTTTCCCATTCATGAGTCAGTACTGATGTTCACAACCACACTCTTTCACATAGCAGTTCTCCCCACAGTGCAATGACCAGATGCAAGCTTGGTCATGACTTTATTATGCTATACCCATGACACTTAAGAGAAGTTTATTTCAAAAGCAGTGCATGTGTTATAGGTAAGTGTCAACTCCTTGCTTTTAAAAACACTTGCTAAACCAAAGAAATGACTTCCCAATCAATCAATCAATCATCAGTCCATCCAGACCTTGGGTACATTTATCATTAGTTATGAAGTTGTTCTGATTTTCCTTTTCTGATCCCAAACTGCTAACTGCAATTATCCTTCTAAGTAAATTATGATGCCCATGTCAGAAAAAGTCACACATGCTGACTCAAGGCCAGCTGGGTGCTTGTATTAACAGCTCCACAGGACAGTCCCAGGGAGTCTACAGATGTAGACAGGTCTATGCTTATGCCTCACTGCCTTTTTAAAGGCACCACATCATCAATTACCAAGATCAGCAATCTGAAAATTAAATGCCACCTACCTACAAAGCACAAAAACTGTATGTTATTTTTCCATAGAAGCAATTAGATTTAACACAGTAGACTGTCAAAACCTACAGATATTTGCAATAAGAAAATCAGGACAAATCTGGAAAAACCTAATTCTCAGGTAGGCAAGGATGAAAACCACACGTAGTTTTCTTAGCCCTTTTTTTCTTTTTTCTTTTTTCTTCTCTACCTGGCAATGCGTAGCACAGTAAGCTCTTTAACATGCCCATAATATATATCCTTTATTTTTCTCTACATTCACAGACCATCCCAAAGTGATGACATACATAGGTGTGTGTGTGTGTGTGTGTGTGTGTGTGTGTGTATATACACTTATAATATATATCTATATTTATATTTATATATATACATTTTAAAATTGATCTTCAAGCAGACACAGTAGGACAAGTCTGTAATCCTAGCACTCTGAAAGTAGAGCAGGAAGACCAGGAGCTATATTGGCTCCATAGTGAGTTTGAGACCAGCCTGAGATACACAAAACCAGTCTAAAAGAGAAACTGAATCTTCAAATAATCTATCTTCCACACAGAATTAAGGTTATCAGTTTGGAAGGTAGTACTTATTTGATAATATATCACTCAAAGAAAATGGCATTCCAAAACACTGAAGGTTGAGCTATGTGCCACTTTATCTCCATCCTAACCTTACATGTAATGTTGAGATAAATTAAAACTCTAAACTTCAGGTGTTTACTTTGGTCTTCGTTCCCACACTCCAAATCTTTCTAGGAAGAATCCAGAATTTTCTAAACAAAAGCTTGTTTTCCAAACCTACTATTTCCATGGGTGTGCATTTCTGCACATGGTGCAGACACATGGAGGAGTGGTGCTGGAAGGGCACACACAAACTGACAACATGGGGGCTGAGAGATGGCTCAGCAGTTCAGAGCACTGACTGTTCTTCCAGCAACACCTGGGTTTGAATTGCCGCACTCACATGGTGTCTAACAACCATCCATAACTCCAGTTCCAGGGGATGCAACGCCCTCTTCCGTCCCCCACTGGCACTGCATAACACGGGTGCACTTACATACATGCAGGCATAACACTCAAACACATACAATAAAGATAAATTTAAAACACTGACAGCATGTTACTTTTGAGAGAAGTAGGGTTCCCACTTTTGCTTTGTATAAACTGTTTTCTTTAGCAGTCAGAATGCATTCCTTTACTACTTGATTAACTGAAAATAAATTTAAAGCCTATCTAATGGTATTTCTTGGACACCATGGATATGAGATGCACAAGAAAGTTCTTCTCACTTAGGAAAGCTGTAACTCATCTTATTACTTAGCATCTCAACAGCTATTTCAAGCAAGTTATTTCTATATTTCACACCCTTTCACCTCTCCTTTCCCAAGGTCCCCACACAAGAGACACTTCTGGTAGAAATGGTCACTTCTCTCCAGGTGGCTGTAGGTCCCTGTTAAGAAACAGCTGAATGGGGAGAGCCTGCAGCCTGGGTTCCAGCCCACCTCTGACTGAGGTGGGTTAAGGCACAGACTGGTCAGGCATGCTATGAAGGTGCCTCAGATGATTCTGACACACAGCACTGGGAATGAAACACAGCTCCTAGTAGCAGATCAGGGAAAGGATTTTTGATTCTGCATTTAAGAAATGGTTCCTTAGGGAAGAGTTGGAGGAACTGCAGGTCAATATGAGCAAAAGGCAGCAGCAGCAGCAGCAGCAAGACAAACAGAAGAACCTACACAATCGAGCACACTGACATTGGTGTGTGCATGGGGGGATTCGTGCTACCTCTTCCAAAGTTTCCCACTTTCAACTCATTCCATTTGAGAAATCAGGCTCTGCGTTGTTAAGCATGCTTCCTCACTGAGTCATGAATTGCTAAATCCGTACTTATTCTTTTTTATAATTTCAGATGCCAGGGACAGTAATTTCCTGGCAAATAAAGACAGAAGTTCTTATTATAACGACCAGCCCCTTAAGGAAGGGAAAATTGCATTCGAGCCACTATAGCCATTTGTCATGTAATTTAGTCATTAGTTTCATTTCAGGCTTCTTCCAGGCAAGTCCTAATAAACTACTTCATTTGGGGCAAATCCTTAGGGGAGAAGCATATTAAGCCAAATTATATGGAACTGTCCTAGCAGATTCTGAAGAACCTGACTAAATTATATACAGGGCACACCTGGATTTCTGACTGAAGCCAAAGGCAAGAAGGAACAGGTCCCAACTCACACTGAAACCCAGGCTCCTTCCAATGGAGGGAATGTTTTCCCATTCTAGTAATTGACTTGTTTGCTCATTCACTCATTCATTTATTCACTCATCAATTAGAAACTATGGAGCACCTACTAAATGCCAGGTACTCAGAGAGGAGTTAAGGATGGCATGGTGAGTGAACTGGAAATAGCTAGAGTCCGATGGAGCAGTAAACAAGAATAAATCTCAGAGTACTATGAAGTAGAAAGAGGTGAAAGTTAAGAATGGGAGAGGGTGGGCTGGAGAGATGGCTCAGCAGTTAAGAACACTCGTTGTTCTTGCAGAAGACCTAGGTTCGAATCCCAGCATCCACACGGCAGCTAACAACTGTCCGTAACTCCAGTTCCAGGGGATCTGATGGCCTCTTCTGCCCTCCACGGGCATTGCACGACATGGGTGCACTTACCTACATGCAGGCAATGCACTCATACACATAAAATAAAAATAATAAATAAAATATAAAAAAAAAGAATGGGAGAGGGAGTGACTGGAGCTGTGAAAGGTCTGTCTGAGGAGAGCTATTTACACATGTGATAGGTAAGGAATCTGCCAAGCAAAGAAATGGGGCAAGAGCATTCAACACATTAACACAATGCACTTAACACCATGATTTACAGAGCTGAGAAAGGAGAAGGAATTCAGGGGCAGGCCAAACACACTCAGATCAAGCGGCTGTATGTGGACCCAATTCCTGAATTCTGGATAAAAACAGCCAAGAAACAGCAGCTTTCTGTGAAACCCGACCTAATCAAGGCAGACCAGGTCTTCATCTTCACTCAGTCTAGTTCAGTACATTCCTGAAGGTAAGACTTGCCTTACCTCCTCATTCCTTTCCACCCTCAAAGTCAGCTGAACTTTCCATGGTTTATCAAAAATGTGCTATTAACATAGAGTGCTGGCAAGTCAAAGTCCAAAAGCTATCTGGCCCTTTTCTCCATTCTACCTAATTCTTGCAGGCTTTGTCTTATTTATAAAGACCAGATCTCTGTTGGTTACAGATAGAAATAATCATTATCTTCCATGACATGAAAGACCAAAAGCTATCCACTGGATAGTTTCAAATCATTGCATTCTATCTTAAAAAAAAAAAAAAAATCACGTGGTCCTTCTGGGAAGAACCAAATTATATTTCTAATTTCAGTGTTTTAAAAAATCAACAGAGGGGGCTGGAGGGATGGCTCAGTGGTTAAGAGCACTGACTGCACTTGCAGAGGACCCAGGTTCGATCCCCGGCACCCACATGGCAGCTATGAACCATCCTTAACTCCAGTTCCAGGGGAATCTGAAGCCCTCTTCTGACCTCCGCAGCATTGCACGACACGGGTGCACTCACATACATGCAGACAAAACACTCATAGACATAAAATAAAAATAAGTATCTTTTAAAAATAGTCTGAGATAAAATTTTTAAAAATCAACAGAGAACAGATCAGCTGACAGCATAAATAGCTACAATTTAACTGAATTGAAGAATTGACTCTGTTCTCAGCCTTCGAACATAAAAAAAGTCCTAGGCTGCCACTTACCTTTTGACCACCTTGTCATAAATCAAGGTCACTGAACCAGCACTGACTGCCCAGCAGCTATACAGCTACGCCCTAACCAAAGGCTTACTGCACAACTGCACTGAGATGACACTTCACTCTTGCCTTTTTGAATGTTAGTTTGTACCTGTGCACCCACACCTGGCAGAACCTAAGATAGGCAAACTGGCAAGACGACTCAACAGTCATAACCTGCCAAAGGATTCATTCACCCTGTCAGAAATGATGTCTGTCTTGAGCATCCAGAGTTCCATAGAACGGTATAAAGCAATAGTCAGTGCTAGCTCCCGAGTAGAACAGCATGCAAGAAAGACAAGTACAGTTCTCAAGGGTTGATTTTAATCTACTTTTACTGATTTCAAGTTGGAACAATAGCATTAAGATGTAGTCACAAGGCTAAGGTAGGTGTCTTGCAGCATGGCACTGACAGAACAGCCCCTCCAGGAAGCAGAACACCAGGGGAAGAACATCTTCAGCACATGAAAAGGACACCACTGCCCTGCTGAATGCACCAGTTACCTTTTCCTCTGTGACAATGTTACATCTGAGCCAAAGTAACTTGTTCCCAGAAACTTATCCACAACACAGAAACTATAAAGATATCCTTGCCCAACAAGCCTCAACACAGAAAACCAGCCCTCCAGGCCTGCTTCAGTAACCTTGAATTTGTCACAGCTAGTTAGCTACTATCAAAGGTTCAACTGAAGGAAGTAATATTTATGGAAGATGATCTAAGAGACTTACTTTCAGTCTCCACCTATTCTAGGCCCTAGCCTTGAATCAACTTCCGGCATTAGAACACTTAGATTGTTTTCTATGCACACACACACACACACACACACACACACACACACACACACAGAGACAGAGCGCCAAGGTTACCTTTGCTAGTTATACAACACTCCATGGTCTCTGTTTTATCAAGAAGTATTTGTCAGTAAACACTGAGAAGAGCACTGCATCTCATTTTATGCCTCCTACAAAAAAATCTCTCATAAGAAAATTCTGTTTTCTGCTGTTTTGTTGTACTGGTAATCAAACTGCCTTATGCCTGCAGGCAAATGTTCCACCACTAAGGACATCACAGCCCCAGATTTCTAAGTGTTTCATTTAATGCCTGGAATAACTATTTATGCTTTTTTCTCCCTGGTAATGAAAATTAGCAACCAACACTATTTTCCTTTTATCTGGAACTAAATGTAAACCACAGAAGTCCTTTCCAAGTCTCCTGGCTCTCTACATTGCTAGGCACAGGTCCCCTGACCACGCCCAGCCTGGATCATCTAATACGCTATTTACTTAATCTCTATTGGTGAATGTAGATGTACAGAGAGATAAACCTGAATGCTAGCTGAGTCAAACCTTTATGGAAGGAAGATAAAAGTGAAGTCAAACCAAAACACACCTGCAACATGAACTGACAGGAACACAGTCCCAAATTATCACATAAAACTCTGGATCATACTCCTCCAAAGTGAGACAGAGAATCACCCCCACTTTCCATACTACACAGAAGGCTGTCCAAAGGCCAAGCCTAAAGGCAGCACTGGGATTCCCACCCACGCTCCATCTGGAAGCCCCAGTGGCTTTGTGGGGTTCCAGTCACTAACCTCCTCGCCACTGGCCATTCTGTGAGCTAGATCTTTTAAGTTTCTCATCATTCTTTCATCCCGAAAATCATAAGGAAACGTTTCTGTCCATTCTGTCAAGAGTTGAAGAATTTTAGGTGCAATTTTTCTCATCTGGTTCTAGGAAGAAAAAGAAATCTACTTCAGTACATCAGTTAACAGTGTCTGTGGTGATTAGAACAAGAAGTGTCCCCCACAAGGTCAAGTATTTGAACATTTGGTATTTGGTCCCAGTTGGTGGTGCAGTTTGGAGAGGGTCAGGGAATCTTTAGGAGGCGGAGCCTTGCTGGGAAGTGTGTCACTGGGGTGGGCTTTGAGAGTTCTTGGCTTTGACCCACTCTAGTTCTGGTTTGTTCTCTCTCTCTCTCTTTCTTTCTCTCCCTCCCTCCCTCTCTCCCTCCTCTCTTTCTCTCTCTCTCTCTCTCTCTTCCTGCTCCAGCCACCACCTGCATGCCATGCCTTCTCTGCCATTATGGACTCCCTCTGGAACCATTAAGCCACACTAAATTCTTCCATAAGTCACTTTTGGTCATGGTGTTTTATCATAACAATAGAAAAATAACTAATACAGTATCACTGATAACCTTTCAGTGCTGCAAAGTCTCTGTGGCTGAAGAAGCAGTTATAGGCCACTCCATATCACAGTATTAAGTATGATTAAGGCAGGGTCTAGGGATGTCTCTGTGGCACTCCATTTATATTATGTCCTTCATTTTATTTTATTTTTTAAATTTCTACTTTTTTAATTTATTTTTTAAAATGTTTTATTATTTTTATTTTATGTGTATGAGTGTATTGCCTGCATGTATGTGAGTGCACCCACGTCGTGCAATGCTGCTTTTATGTGTATGAGTGTACTGCCTGCTTGTATATGAGTACACCCATGTCGTGCAATGCTGCGGAAGTCAAAAGAGGGCTTCGGATTCCCCTGGAACTGGAGTTATGGATGGTTCGTAGCCGCTATGTGGGTGCTGGGAGTCAAACCTGGGTTCTCCACAAGAGCAATCAGTGATCTTAACTGCTGAGCCATCTCTCCAGCCCCTATTATTTTTATTTTATATGTATGAGTGTACTGCTTACACATAGGTAGGTGCACCCACGTGGGGCAATGCCTGCGGAGATCAGAAGAGGGTATCAGATCCCTTGGAACTGGAGTTACAGATGGTTGTTAGCCATGTGGGTTCTGAGAATTGAAACTAGGTCCTATGCAAGAGCAGCCAGTGTTCTTAATCACTGAACCATCTCTCTAGCCCCCTTTATTTTAGTGTGTGTGTGTGTATGTGTGTTTACAGTGCTGGGGATCTAACATAGAGTTGTATGCATGTAAGGCAAGCACCCTATCACTGAGCTACTTACCAATCCCTGCACTGTTCTTGATACCATCCCCGACTCCTTACACATACCCATGATGACTCTTTAGGCACTTTAGCCTGGGGATATGCTAGGGTTACATAAAGAAATCAATGCCACAAAAATTTAAGGCCATTATCCCCATCCTAATATTCAGCTCCAACCCCCATTCTACAGAAGCAGCTACAAAATACTTCCCATGGAGTTAGCATATCTAATGAAAAAAATTGTAAAGTTCCAATGTTTCATTACCTTATCACTATCAGGTTCACTTAGTCTCTGGTGCTCAACACACAAGTGGCAGACTTTGGCCATTAGCTCATATGGATGCATAAATAGCCGAGAACTGAGCAGGAACGTGAATATGTATGTTCTCTGTAACAAGAGAAAAGAAGTCACCATAGTTACATTTTCTCTGAATTACTATCTTTCCTATGCATTAAACAGCAAAATGAGGAGGCTACAGCTTCACCTATACCTTTACCAATAACACCTATTGGTAAAATAGTAAGATGGATTTCTCCTTTACCTTCAACTTAAAATATACTTAAAATACCCAGGTATACAGGATGAGTTTGGCTCCTGAAATTATTCAAGAGGACATTTTCTTATCTACCCTCAGGAAGTCAGGATACCAGGACATGGTCAGTCAAGAGAGTAAAATAAAAAAAAAAAAAAAAAAATTCAACACAGAGAAGCAAAGCTGACTTAAATATATCACCCATACAGAATCTAGTTATGTGTTCACATATTATGGTAACTCAAAGAAAAAAGAAAAACAAGAAAACAAAAACCTATCTACCTTACCCACATTTGGTCAAGAATTCTGTACTGCATCCTGCCTAACACAAACAAGTGTTTGTGTCCCCACATTTAAGGACAGACTTTCAACTAACCTATTGGCTTGCTAAAGGTTAAGCAATTTGATAAGGCACAATATAAGACTATGCAGTTCTCTTTAGCCACACCATCTCCCAAGAAGTCAGTAATAAGACAGGGCTTATTTGTTGTAATAGTTCAGACTCCCAATGAGAAGAGAAATCCTATGGTTTTCTTTCCTCCACTTAGGCGCCTTTAGTGGACCATAAACACTTACAGAGCTGAACAAGGGATTCCTTTTACTTTTGATTACAAGTTTTCCCTGTGTGGCAACATATGTGAAAATGCTATGTAACAAATCACACACACAGAGATAGCTCAGTAGGGAACAGTATGGTGAATTACCACGGCAAAGCACAAACTCTCCTTTATACAGCAAGGTTATTACGTTTATAAAAAATAATGAATGTGGCCTCTAGATATTCTCATGAAATCTCCATCAATAGCCAGCTGCCTAGTAAACCTCATTGTCCTTCAAAACTCAGCTCCACAGAGACACACAGAGAGACCAAGTGGAAAGGGGAACTCACTTGGCCAAGAAAGGAAACCTGTGTCTGACTGCTGATACTGGGAACGAAATCCACAAATAGGAAGACTGAATTTCTGCTTTCTACCCTTTACCGTCTTAGAATTACTGCAAAGACTAAGATAAGATACAGTGAATTCCCTAGGTTAGAAGGTGCCATCTGCTCAAATGTAGGCTATCAAGAGAAAGCCAAAGCAAATATCACCTAATGTCCAATCTCTACATCACAGCATGGTGAGTGTAACTTCTCTCTTCATATACTTTCCCTACTTATATCCACTTGTTAGCCTAGCAACTGTCTTGAGAATAAAAAGCATTAATGTCATGTCCTAGGAGCATCCAATGCTCACTCTCTAATGGAATTATTATTTATAAAACAAAATGCATGCACGGATCAACTCTATAGTTATTTCATTTAGATGGTCTACAATGTGTTATACAACTTGAAAAGATGTGGAGACATTCCCAAAATTTGACTCATCTCCAGGCTCAATTTGATCTCAAAATACTCAATAATTACTTTACAATGTCATATTAGAAAGAAGATCTTAGCGACCCAGATATAACTGTACAGCATGTATGGTCTCTGCACAGTCAAGCAGATTTTCCACTCCATACCAAGGATGGGTTTCAGAGGAACAGGAATACCTACATCTGGATAGTAATCCACATTGGGTACTAAGTGCTGGATCAGTGCTTCCAGAGATCCAGAAAGGAGGTTGTTGTCATGGTAATATAACCCTCCACAGCTGTCCTCTGCAGACTGGTAGAGGTTTCGGTTGTAACCACTGCTGTCAAACATTGCTGAAAAGGGAGGCGTCTGAGGCATACTTTCCTAAAAAAATAAAAGTAAAAAATAAGAAAACATGGGATCAGTAAATGCAATATGAAAAGTAAGGTCTAAGAGACACTGAGATTCAAATGTAATAAACAAACTGGCAAATTTAGAAAATACTTTAGTTATGATACATCAGAACCCATGAAGAACCAAACTGCTCTGAGCGTTACATGCACACTTACTCTTGAGTGTCAACCTCATTCAAGCAAATATAAAACGCTCACACCAAAAGATCCAGTCCAGACTCTAATCCAATCCACACCATCATTTTTACATGTCACTCCTTCACATCTGGTTGTGAACAGGAATTGAGGAACCAAACTTCAATTGCTTTACCTCACTGAGTCAAGTATTTTCCTAAGGTGGAAACGCTTTAGTCTTCAGAATTTACTGGGATGAGTTACCTAAAGGTTAAGGAGCTATCTGACTAGCACTGGACATACTAGAAGAGAACCAAACTGAAATCAGAGGAAGTGTAATTTGCCAGAAACCTGGAATTAACATGCAGAGAGAGTGTGTGAGTGGATATCTTTGTCTATGTGTCTGTTCTGCATGTGTTTCTGTTTGCATGTATCAAGAGATTACATCTGGCTTCCCAACTTTACAAAAAGGGCAGATGCTATTTGGCTTTCACTCCTTTGTGTCAGATCTGAGGTTTGGGGTGGTGTGCGTGCATGCGTACATGTGTGTGTACAAAGCCTCAATCTCAGTAACACAAATTGAGAAGGCACCTGATTGTAAACAAGGAGTACTGTCACAGTCCAGAGATAAGCTGTTCTCCATCTGTATCCTCTGCCACTGGAAAAGCCCCTGTCAGGGGTTGCTCAGTGGAGACCAGAGGCTATTAAGTTATTGCTTGGATTCCTGGGGACATAGCACAAAGTCCTGAGAGCAGACTCAGATTTCTGGCTGCATGTTTGGACAATGCAGGCATTCAGGACTTGAAGAGACTGGGGGTTTCAAAAAGCAAACAATGCCAGTGAGGCCCAGTCCAGACCTAGGCCTGGTAGGGACAAGAGGGTGGAGGTGGCAGGAGGACAGAACCTGGGCTAATCCTTCTTTTCAAGATGCCAAAACATATTTGCATCTGAATAAAGGGGTGGAGCTCTGTCAGAAGTCCCAATTCTCCAGTAGCATCTGTTCCACCTTAGCTACAGAGGGGTTCAGAGCCCCATAAGATTGTATGAATGGGCCAGGACAGGAGGTGGCCACGGATGGCAAATAAAAACAGCACTTAGGAAAAGAAGTATCAATAAAGATAAATTTTTTAAAGCTTCAAGTTGTGGCCTCTACTCCATCCAAAAACCAGTGCAGAGAAAGAACGTAAAGAGATCCATGAAAAAAGAAATTCCACAAATGGGAAGAAAGTGGTTACTGAGAACCACTCCACAGGGATTTGTCACCACCTGGGCACCAGGGTTGTCAGAGTCATGCCTCAGCTTAAGTAGGACACAGCCATAGAGCCAAGGGGTCATCGACTAGGGGATATACTGTTAAATGCACTGGACACCCACTCAGATGATGAAACAAGACAAGCAGGAGTCACCTAAGTAAATAAAAAACTCAATGTTAACATTTATATGGCAGAGAACAAAATGCATTTCTTTTCTCTTTAAGTTGTCAATTTTCATGAATGCGATTCATGTATATTGCACCTGTTATAAGTAGTTTGTCCTTGGTGAGAAGAACAAAGCTGATCTACATTTGTCCTCAGAAGCCCAGCTAATGCTTGGAGACTAGGAGCTGAGACTTACCTAAGTTTACCTAAGAGGCTTACTTAAGTTTCTCACAGCCCTGAAGAAACCCTGTCTGCATTTGACTGTACGTGACAGCTTTCAATGGTTACAGCCACACAGCATCCTCCCCACATAGAATGAAAAGTAGGAGTCCCTTGAAGTTAGGATGCTTTTCTTCCAGTGACCATGAATTTTCCTTGATCTCTCTACTCACTTGTTATTGAAACCAACCTATTAAAGTGTCTATAGAAGATAGTCAGAAGTTGAGAACTCTGGAAAATGAGAAACATTCAAAAGGGCCCACAGGAATCATCTGGTCCAAGAGGTAGAAAGGAGATTTCATTTCAAACTACAATCAATTAGAAGTAGTAGCTGAGGGCTATGATGATGAGGCAGGAAGATTTGGAGGTTGTAACTCAGTGGCAATGTGTATTCCAAGTAATTAGAAATGACTGTAGACAGTTGTGGAAAAGCCAAACCCAGTGCCTCATGGTCGGGTCCAAACTCCTCTTTCTAGAAACCTGTGACCTAGGACTCAGGTAGGTGGACTGGAGTGGCTAGGCCAACATGACACAGCTTTGTGGCTCCCGCACAAAATGGGTTTCCCCTGAATCTTGTACCCCACTGCCTTGGCCTTTTTTTTTCTTTAATGTATATGAGTGTTTTACCTGAATGTATGTGCAGTGCACCTGTGTCATGTAATTCTCATACAGCCCACATGAGGGCAGAAGATCCCCTGGAACTGGAGATATGGATGGTTGGTTGTTAGCTGCCATTGGGTGCTGAGAACTGAACATGGCTGGGTCCTTTCCAAGAGCAGCCAGTACTCTTTAATTGCTGGGCTATCTCGCCTTGGGCTTATTAGCAATAAACCTGAACCAGCCAGAGAGTCACAGGTCACCCAGAGTTCCTCTCAAGAATCAGACCAAAAGCTTTAAGTGTTTGTAAATCTTACTCTTGTAGAGTGGAAAAGGACTCGTATTTGGATTAAGAATTCAAACAATGAAATAGCACTTAGTAGCTGTGAAATCTTTAGGACATTATTTACCCCCATCCCACATACATTTTCCATCAGTTATCTTCAGTTTTGCTCACCTCTTCCAAAATCCAAAATTGTGTGTGTGTGTGTGTGTGTGTGTGTGTGTGTGTCTTTTTAGCAAAGCTCTTCTTAGAACATTATTTTTATAAATATTTTATTTATTATTTTTATTTTATGCGTATGCACATATTGCCTTCATGTAGGTGAATGCACCCGTGTTGTGCAATGCCCGCAGAGGACAGAAGAGGCCGTCGGATCCCCTGAGCTGGAGTGACGGACAGTTGGTACCTGCCATGTGGGTGCTGGGATTCAAACCCCAGTCTTGTGCAAGAACAGTCAGTGTTCTTTACCGCTGAGCCATCTCTCCAGCCCCAGGACATTATTTTTTTAAATATTTTATTTATTATTTTTATTTTATATGTATGAGTGTATTGCCTGCAGGTATGTGAATGTCATGTAATGCCACGGAAGTCAGAAGAGGGCTTCAGATTCCCCTGGAACTGGAGTTAAGGATGGTTTGTAGCTGCCATGTGGGTGCTGGGAATTGAACCTGGGTCCTCTCAAGAGAAGTCAGTGTTCTTAACCACTGAGCCACCTACTCTAGCCCCATAGAACATTATTTTTATACATTATATAAATTACACAAATATATACAAACTGTATGTGTGTGTTGTCTTTTTAGCAAAGTTCTTAGAACATTATTTTTATAGTTATTGCAAAGGCTTTTGCACTGTTCTTTAGAATTGTATCTCTGATAATGATGACAACACTCAAAAGGCTCTTTCTAAAAAAGGCACCTCAAAAACACTGTATATATGGATGGAAACCTAACCAGGTATGCTAATTAGGGCTACAGCTTATTAACCCCACAAAAAAACCAACTGTGAGAAGAGTATATCACAGGTAGTTTTTTGTTGTTGTCGTTGTTTTGCCTCCAAATTAATCCAAAGACCTGCTACAAATCAGCTGGTTTCATTTTCTCAAGAGCCATCTTGATTACTGAACTTAATACAGTAACAACCAATTGCTGAAGCCCAGTCAAGACAAGGTTATACACCTTGAACGCATTTCTTCTACCTTGCTTTGTGCTCAAGACAGCATCTTTCCACTCCCTTTGTGAATTAAACGGTCTTGTCACTTGAAATCTCATATGGTAGAAAAGGTCTCCACATTCCACAGGCTTCATTTTTCTGAATTCCCTCTTAAATTGTCTGTCAGAGTTCCACTCTGAGAATTTTATTGGCTTCTCTTTGTGCAATAGTTTACTGACTACAAATGCATTTTCTGGATTTTGCAACCACCCCATGTGTGACAGAATCCTTGGGTGTACTTGTGTGCGTGCATGTGTGTGTGTGTGTGTGTGTGTGTGTGTGTGATAGAGAGAGAGAGAGAGAGAGAGGGTGAGAGAGAGACAGACAGACAGACAGACAGACAGAGAGACAGAGAGAGAGAGAGAGAGAGAGAGAGAGAGAGAGAGAGAGGGTGAGAGAGGGTGAGAGAGAGACAGACAGACAGACAGACAGAGAGACAGAGACAGAGAGGGCCTAAGAAGCCACGGTGACAAGAACTTGCTGGGGACATACGAAGGGACAGATAGGGCAAGGCTTCAAAACTAGGTCTTCACATGCCAGCATTCCAGGTAATAAATTTATTGTATTACTTATGTTATATTGCAAAAGGTCATCTTTGAACTTTAATATTTAATCATAAAATAAAAAGATCATCATTTGGGGCTAGAGAGATGGTTCAGCAGTTAAAAGAGCACCGGCTGCTCTTGCAGAGGACCTAAGTTCAATTCCCAGCATCCACATGGCAGCTAACAACCATCCATAACTCCAGTTTCAGGAGATGTGCACCCTCTTCTGGCTTCTGTGGGCTTTTGCAGGAACACTCATACACATAAAATAAAAATAAATAAACTAATAAATTTTAAAAGCCCATCATTCTGTCCCAAGTTGTATACTACTAGAATAATTTTTATTTCTTACCTGTTCTACATAAATTCTTATTCCTAAGACACATTAAAACCACAAATTACTCTTGTTAAAAAAAGAATCACAGCCAGGTGTGGTGGTGCACATCTTTAATCCCGGCACTGAGGAGGCAGAGGCAGGCAGATCTCTCAGAGTTCGAGGTCAGCCTGGTCTACATAGGCCAGCTGGGACTACAGGGACACCCTATCTCAAAAAAAAAAAAAAAAAAAATCACACTGTCAACAGTAG